ACATATGTTGCAACTAATTTTAGCTTATGTTGCAACATTTTGTAAATTTGAAATCAATTGCTGTACCATCTTTAACCCAAATCATGTGACTGAAATTATGTATACTTTGACTTTCTGAATGACTAGCGAAGAAAAGGAGGGATTATTATAATAGTACTATAAATCAGGGTTGAATAATAGCATGTTTGATCTGGCATATTTACAGCTTTTAGATACGAATCAGAAGCTTCGTAGTGAGCTTCAAGATAAAGTTTCTATTAATAAGAGTAACGAGAAAAAAATTCACTTTCTCGTAAAGGAGCTTGAGCAATATTATTGAACTATCTTATTACAGGATAATACTATCATAGCCTATGAAAAAGAGATTGAAGAACTTAAATGCCAAATAACCAATCTGCGAAAACAGCTTAGGGCATTATAGCAAGATAAAAAATTCAAAGAGGAAATAGCATCTATTCAAGATAACTGAATCATAGAACTCGAAAATAAGGTTGGGAGCCTCAAAGCAAGGATCAGGATTCTCATAGATAAAAAAATCTCAATAAATGCTTTAGATATGGCAACGGCTAATCTTATTGCAAATATTAATAGAGGATTAGATCGAATTGAGAATCATATTAGAGGGACTGGCATACTTATGCAGAATCCCGCTAATGTTATAGATGGTATTAGAGGCTTGTTAAATACTATTCGGGTTTCTTTACAAAATATTACAGCTGAGCGTGATCAATATCAGAACTTATTACATGATTTAATTCAGCAAGTAGATAATCTTAGGAATCAGTTTACTGATAGTGGAAATCAGAATTTACGATTACAACATTTATTAGAGTAATCTTGAGTTCAGGTTGAAAGAAATGTGAGAGAAAGGGATGCAGTTATAAGGGAAAGAGATAATGTTCAAGAAGAGCAGAACTTGGCTGTGTTAGCCTATCATAATGAGAGACAAGAATCTCGTTGTTAGTGTTTCTCATATCGGGATAAAAATAGGCATGTCCAAGAATTATTACGAAAAAAATTTGCTAAACAGCTATTGTATCAGCGAAACATCAATCACCTTCAGCAAAATACCCAACAGTTGCAGACCAATGCCCAAAACCAGATAAATAGGATGTTAGTTATTATAGCAAGAAAATAAACCCACATTGGTGAATTGATACGTGAAAAGTTTGTTTTCCAGCTAGTGATTAGGCAAAGAGATCAGAATATTTTAAATTTGCAGGGACAAATTTTAGCGCTTCAGAATAACCCATTAGGAAATATGGCAGATGCTAGATTTTTACCAGTATTAACTATAATTGCATCAGTTCTTGCAAAAACTAAGCCTTATATAGGTCAAAAACCTCCTGATGATTATTTAGATAGACTTATTCTATTAATATCATTTGCACAAAGGCATATGACTGTTCTTGAAAATGCAAATGCTGGAGATTTCGATAATGCTGTCAAATGTGATATTTTTAAAGCTCAGATGGAAGGAAAATATTTACCAGTTTCTGTTTAAGACCCATATAATGGAAATGCTCCTATTATTTCTCCAGCTACTTTACGTGCTTGGATGAGATCACATTATCAATGAGAAACAGTAGGTAGTCGGCAGTCGGCACTTCAAAGATTAACTCAAGAAAAATTTCTAACCACAGACTCACCAGATACTTATGAAAAAAGAATCCAACCTTTATTATTAGGTATAGCAGATAATGATGCACAAACTGTAGGATTTCTTAAGAACCACTTATCAGGCGATCTTTATACATAGATGCGAGCTGTCACTTCTGGTAGTATTAATGCATTTTTTACAAACCTAAAAGACATGTGGCTGGAGCGTACTCCCAATTTAAATAGAGGCCAAAATTATCAGAATAATTCTTTAGCTGAGATTGATAAGTTAAATGCCAAAATAACCTCTCTTTAGACGCAACTATCACAACTGGCTCAAGTGTACTCCTAGAATAATGAAGCCTCCGCTGATTTTAAAAAGTTAAACTCCAAAATAGCTTCTTTAGAAGCACAGTTAGCGGAATCAATGCAGGTGCATTCTAAACTTGCTCAACGTTTACACGTACCAGAAAATGTAGTTAATTCAAATAATGCTTCAATCTTTGATAGTTATATTAATCAAGAATTGGAAAAAAGATTAGGAGTAATCGAAATTAATTTAGCAAAACTCACTAAACTCATAAGAGAAGATACAAAATCAGCTCAGTATCGGTGTTCAGAATTCTCAGACTATAATAATGGAGGATTGGAAAAAAGATTAGAACAAATTGAAGCTCACTTAGCCAAATTTGTCAGAAAAGATACCAAATGTACCAAAACACCTCAGCGTAAACGCTCAGAATCCTCACCTTTTAGAGGATTGAAAAAAAGATTAGGACAAATCAAAGCCTTATTGGCTAAACTTGCTAAAGATTCCAAATCCAGAAGTGGTCAAGTTCATATGGCTACAGCAGATGAACAGTCTAATCCCATTTTTTCTGATGATGACACGTCTAAACCTGAGGACAATGAATATAACTCTGATAATTCTTCAGCTGGTTTGGACTCTGAAAAACATGATATGCATGTGTATATAAATTATAGAAAAAAAAGTGAACTACGCTGAGCAGAGTGGTCATTCTAATAAGTCTTCAAGCTCTAAAATTAATAATGGATCCAAGTTTCATAAGGTAAAACAGGATAATAATTCACCATCTACCTGTAATATCTCATCAGAGAAAGGTAGCCAAGGTACTAGGTGGGTGTCTTTAGAAGAAACTATTCGCAAAATTATTCAAAGTGAATTTGTGAATTATCTCTCATACATAATTCAGCAAGTTAAAAAAAGTGAGCCTGTTTCAGCTCAAGATTTAGATAAAGAGGATATTTTAGATGATTCTATAGAGATAGATTTCGTCCAAAAAAAGGAACCTGCTACAAGTATTGCAACTGTAAAATGTAAGATTAAGCGTCTTAAAATCCCAGCTATAGCATTGAATTCTTGTGCTGAACTTTCTATTGTAACATCAGATATTGTTGAACGTGTAGGGAATGGGATTGATAAATCTATAAAACATGATCTTAGTGGTATTGCTACTCTTCTGATTGTGTCTGTTGGAGTTGTTTATGATTTATCAATAACCTTAGCTCTGGGTTATACCATTTATGAAGATTTTCTGATTATGAAGTACTCTAAGCCAATGCTAATATTTTCTAATTCTCTTCTCAAGAAATACAGATGTGCAATTGATTGGGACAAAGATGAGTTAAAGCTCTACCATAATAGAAAGGATTTACTATTCCGGTTACCATGCATAAGGTCAAGAATAAGCTCGAGATGAATTGCTCGACCACTACTCCTGAATGTGATGATTTCTTGAACCCAGACTGTATTTCGCAGAACTCATAGGACTTAAGCTAGAATGATACATTAAAAAAAAGTGAGTTATGAGGAGCTCAAAAAAATGCTATTTACCAGTATCCAAACGAATTTGGAAATTATAGGGTACTATAACGATTTGTATAGACGTGAGGCTAAGTTCCAGTTGCAAATTTAGATGTAATAGTGTGACCCTTTGTCCTAACCTTTTTCATTTCAATATTTACTTTCTTAAACATCTCTGAAATATCTCCAGAATCTTGCGAAATAATAAGTGATTGGCTAGGAGACGATTCAGGTGATATATCTATTGTATCTTTTTCTACTTCTAAGTCTCCACCTACTATTTCCGATGAATCATCAGAAATACGAATAGACTTAGACCCTGATGCTTTCTTTTTTTGCTTATTCTGCGGTTTGCTCGAACGAGCCGACTCATATACTGGAGATGAATCAGGGACATGAAGTTTTGCTTTTTTGTCTGTATTAAGAATTTCTACCAATTTATACTTTTTACTCTGTTGTGACCGTTCACAATTGTTCCATATATCATGAATGCGCTCTTTACGTATATGATAATCCCTCACTATCATATATGTAGGAACCTTATTTTTGAGATGCCTAATTTCTTCGA